CCTGCCTCTCTGTCCCCACAGGGATGAACAACAACTGTTACTGCCAAATATGACATATTAATAATAATAAATTATAATCAGTTTTAATAATGAAAGCTTTTAAGAAACAGGGAGATCTGCTGAGAGCATTCTGGGAGTTTCCTCAGCGGTCTATGCCTATTCAAATAAACTGATAAAACTTTCAAGGTTTTTATTTTTCATAAAACCCTCTCAGATCTAAACGCTTGCATTTACCTAATTTTTTTTTTAACTAGATATACCCAAGATTCCCAGTAGGGCTAACACCAGTCAGTACTAGTTAAGGACAGTTTGCAGGACTAGTTAGCACAGTAAATCAAACCAACCTGTGTGTTTGTTTACCAGCTAAACCTTCTGTTCTCTCAAGAATTTATGTGAGAGTTTGTTGCATTCTTCAAGAATTTGTGTGAGAGTTTGTTGCGTTCACTTGACTTCAGTTGGTTTGGATTTTCAGATCCTAAAACCAGTCTGGTAGTCATGGCAGACATGGCCGTCTGCCAATCAAGTCATGTTTTATTAATTAAGCTTAAGATCAAAAAAGAAGAGCGATCGTGTTTAACCGAGTGCCGTGCAGACCGTCCAGATGACTGAACGTTACCTGCAGTCTTTACTTGGGTGGCGGCAGGACTCGGTGTTTACACAGGCTTTGTACTGACTCACAAATCAAAGTGCATGTCAGAATGGAGAGATTAGGGAACCAGAAAAGGTCTGGGACTCTACCTGCACCCTTATCTCTTTGTTGTCACCCACCTGGATGAACTGTTAACATTGCGTAACGCACAAACGGATGTGCCATCAACACACAAACTTTCTAATACCCTGATGAAGGGCAGCTGTTTTTATCTGAGGCCCAGGGAAAGGTTGTTTAAAAGGACCGGTGAGAATGGCTTTGTTCAAAGTGGGAGATTCCCCGTCTCCGCAGCTGCCGTCATTTCAGGACAAGATACAGACCTTAGAGTTGGTACGACGCCGTCAGCACAGACCTACAGGGAGAGACAGAGGGGGGTGAATGCTGACGGACTTTCAAGTAAAAGAGGAAGTCGCCGTTAGTCAGCGAGAGCTGCGTGATTTGTCATTCATTAACTGTAGTAGACTTTTATCAGAACGCATCAGACGTCGACGCGACTGTGTCGTTACAGTCGGTTTCTACTGAATTCGCTTTCATGGTGTGCGTAGTTTATGTGGAGGCAGGTATCTGATGTTCTCCGCCAGGTGCTCGGGTTTCAAAGACGAGGCTGGATAATGGAGGACATTAAAAAAAGCCATCTCAAACAATGCAGGATCTTAAGTCCTGGATGTCTTGCTCATCATTCATCTGATCCCGTTTCCTGACTTCTAAAGATTGAGAGATCTACTGTAATTTAAACCTCAGCTTTTTTTTCACAGGCTTTGTATTCCAGCGCGTTCACATGGTTTGGTCGAAAAAGGAAAAAAAAAAGTGTTTTGACAACTTCACATTTCAGTGGCTTTCATCCTAAACTTCCTCACCTCCCTGCCTCGTCACTCCTTAACTCCTCTCCCACTCCTCGCTGTTCGCCGGAGTGAATTCAACCTTGGCTTCCCTTTAAAAAAAAAAAAAGTCCTGCAGGAACTCGGGGAGGCACCTTATTCGGAAGTGAGACTAGCACTCTGACCCCCGGTGGTGATAGGTTTTTCAGCATGGCTGCATCACTCACACAACATGATCTCTACAGGCCGAGCGAGAGATTACACCTGATAGGAGGAGGGTTAGCAAGAAGTCAGTTGTGTAATAATTTGCTCTTCAAGTCCTTAAAGTCATTTTGATGAGTGATAAGTCACCGAGTGTGACCGGGGCCGAAAGGAATAAAGAGTCTTGAACCGATGTAGCGTCTGTTATCAGGTGACATGAAACCGAAACAGAGTTTATTTAATCTGATGCAACATTTGACAGGACTTTGGATTCAACGCAAAATTCATCATTTTATACAAATACATAATTTACAACCCAAGATTTACAGAAACAAAACAAAAAAGAAAAGGATATGATAAAGAGGAAAGTCAAGGGAACATCTACAATACTTTTGTTTTTTTTAGGACAGAGATTTGATCACAAATCTTCAAAACACACAGTTGACGACCTGTATTTAACGTCACGTCCATCTTGTCTTCCAGGGTCTGGATCCTTCATGCTGTGGTGAGGCGTCCACACCGGCTGACCACAGGTAAGAGGATGTTTTTTTCTTTATTCCGGCAGCGTCCACACTGACCTGACTCCAGAACAGTTCTGGTTCCAGCCGCTCCTCTAGAATAAAAATCAATCTGAGTCTGAGACGTTGTTGAACGTTACAGTTACGTCATGGGTGGGTGTGTCCAGTTAGGCTTTACACGATTGGATGAGTGAAGAACAATACACTCTTTATTTATGGCACTGACGATGTGCAATGTTTTGATTCAGGTCAGTTTAGAACCAACTGGACACCAGTAAGAGGAGGTTCAGCTGTAGGGCTGCAGGCCGTGGTTCGTCCTACAGACGTAGGTCGTAGGTTTGCTGAGATGATCCTCCACGGAATCAGAACCCAAACCGGATCAGTGCTGGATCTAGTCGGTGTGTACGCTGCGGAGTCACATGAGTCCGTGGTCATCTCTGATCTTCTGCTGTAAAGTAAAGTCAGTGTTTTCTGAATGACTTACTGGAGGCGTGTAAGAGTGGAATAAGAGTGGAATGTTTCAGGGTTTTTTTTTTTTTTTTTTTTTTTTTTTTTTTTTTTTTTTTTTTTTTTTTTTTTTTTTTTTTTTTTTTTTTTTTTTTTTTTTTTTTTTTTTTTTTTTTTTTTTTTTTTTTTTTTTTTTTTTTTTTTGGTTATTGTTTTCTGTTTCTGCTGCACTTGAAGACTTGTTTTGATTGAAACCTGTCTCTCTGGCTCGTCGATGGCGACCGTCATTCGGTCGCTGTTGCTCAAAAGAAAAGCACGACTTGTTGTAGTGACTGACTCTGGGTGACGGACTGAAGCGGTGACACTGGGCTTCACCGCTGCACACCTGTGTGGCTGTGACAGTGGAGCTGCTGTGGCGCTGACACACTGTACAGTGGAAGTCAGCTCTGAGGAAAAGGTCAGCACAGAATCTATTATTGACCCGATCGCTGACATTTTCAGTCTCACAGTGATCTGATACCAGGGCAGTGTCTTTCTCTGCCATCGAAACCTCACAAGCATGGATTCCTGTAAACGTTACCTTCAGCTAGTTTCACTATTTCTGTCCTTTTATGTAAGATGACTGGTTTCTGCTTTCTTTGTTGCTAATCGTTTTTTCTGGGACATTTAAAGAGACCAAGTGTCTGTTTGAAAAAAAAAATAAGTGTGTCAGCAGCTGATTCTACGACTGATGTCTTAGAAAACAGTTTGTGCTTCATTTGACTTTAAATCATTTAAATGTCGTGGTGAGTCGGCCATTCATTTGACTTTAAATCATTTAAATGTTGTGGTGAGTCGGCCATTTTTTTTTTTTTTAGAAAATGCTTTTGGGGTATTTTGTCAGAAAAATAATTATGAACATTATTTCCATGACTTTTTTTGTCGGTATTTTGTCAGAAAAATAATTATGAATATTATTTCTAAGACTTTTTTGTCTTTTCTGTATTTTTATTTTTTTATTTTTTTTATTTTTTGCTATTTTTTTTTCTTGTCCAGGGCTCATTTTTGAGGTATTTTTTTAAGATATCTTTTGTCTTTTCTGTATTTTTATTTTTTGTATTTTTTTAAGATATTTTTGGCATAACATTTTAAGCTAACTTTACAGATATATCTTACTCCAATCTTGCGTAACTATTTCTCATATCATTTAGCTCATCATTTACCTCGAGGCTCCACTACTCTGTGACGTTTCTTTGTTTTCTTGTCTGATTAAAAATATCTCAACCACAGGGTTGAGCTTTTATGTCATATCTTATTTGATAAAGGAGCAGTTCAACTCCCCTGGGGGGGTATTTTAGTCGACAGTATCTAAAAAAAAAAGAATTGCCCATCCCTGACCTTAGATCCTCTGCCGCCCCTGTTGTCCTTCTTCAAGTTTATATCCTGGGCCTTAAACCTTTCAATTGTTTTCCTTCCTCTCTGGCAGATGATGCGTTTGATAAAATGATCTCCTTCCATTGTGTTTTTTTATATAATGACCTGTTACAACAAGCTGAGAATCTCTGCTAAACTCAGGCCTATTGTGTGCTCAGGATTATACGGGGAAAATGACTGGCTGTTCGTTTCCCCGAGTCTTGATTACTCTAATTCTTTTTTCACCTGTTTTGGAAAAAAAAAACAACACAGAATCCTGAACGAGAACTTTAATTTGGATTTTCTTTTGCTGACTGTCCGTCGACATGCAAACTCACGGCCTTTAAACTGTCGCACTGTAGAAACCACAGAACCATGCAGTGTTTCCAGTATGACACTCACGCATTTCTGGGTCAAGCGGCTGCTCTCAAGGTGACTCGACACTTTCGACACGTGGTTGGCTGCGGCGGCACAACAGCAGCAGTACAACACTTGTGTTCACAGCACAGTTCGCCTGTTGGGATTAGTGGCGTTGCAGCTGCCCTGCTCCGCACAGCTGACCTAACGCGGCTCTGTGTCGGGACAGATGTGGCGCTGTGGAGAATCACGTCGCCTTTTCCAGTCGTTCATCCATCATTCTCACACTGCTGCAAGTGTTTTGATTTTTGGCAAATTGTGCAGATGCATAAAAAGAGCATGTGTTGTTACCACTTTGACAAGTGAAGGTTGATAAGCTGTAGAGCGTAACAGCGGTGTAGCCGAGACCTGGGGGTTTGAGTCCGAGTTAAAGTCGCTCAAGAAAAAAAAAAAACTACCATTTGAGTCGGATTCAAGGACGTTTAAATTTGTATTTGTGTTTATTCCATATTCTTGAATCCCAGTGCTCATCGTGTGCTTGTATCTCGTATCTTGACATCAACTTCCTGTCCAACTACAGCCCCTTTGTGTCCACACTAGGCTTGAACCAACAGGAAACGTGGCGTTGCCTTTGTCAGCAACAGCTGAAATTGTCTCATTCCTTTGGCCAGAACACAGTTTTTAAACCAATGGTGTAATCGTTTTATTAAGTGATGCAACGGCGACGGTTGAGGTTTTTTTTGATGTTCAAATGTTGTTCGGCAATCATTGCCCAAAGAGACACGTGATGTCATCCAAGCTGAGGTTCTCGATTTGTGTAGAAATCATTCGATTTTTTTTATGCTACCAAATTCGGAGACTCACTGAATCAGCTGATCATCGTGTCGACACGCTGCTGCTGTCGGCGGTGGCAGGATGACGTTAATGTCAGAATAATGAAAAAACGGATGAAAGAAAAGATGCTACGTTGTGTGTGAATGAACAGGTGTGAATAAGAGGACCATCACTGTACCTCTGGGGAGTGTGTATTATGACAGTTTGACCTTTGCCATATTAGTTAATGTATTTAAGCTAGGCTCTAATTAGCTTCGCATGAATCGCAGGTTGACTTTTATGCAGATGATGCTTCAAATTTCTCATGTTGTTTTCACTCTGTTTATACTGTGCTTTGTTTCTGCTGATGTTAGACGTTAAATGTGTCCTACTGGTCATGTTTGGACACACATTCTGATTGGTCTTCCATCTCAGCCCGATTTTTTTTCACGTCCTTTTTATCAGTTGATTAATGTTCAATTAAAGTTCCGTCGTCCTCGTTCAGTCCCGCATAACTTCCTCTTTGGGTTTTGTTTAGTTTTCATCTCGGAGAGGAAGGTTTTTTGATTAAAATTGTAAGTCAACATATTAACAGCGCCCCCTGGATTGTTCCTGGGCCTCGTCCACAGGATGATCATAGACAGACACAAATCCGTCGGACAGTTTTTCATCTCTTACAAATCTCGTGATATTTCCATGTTTCCAACAATCTCCTAGTTTTCCCAGAGGTAACGTTCCAGCCTCAGGGGTAAATTTATATGATCTGTTGATGTTTAACTTCAGGATTCAGGAACGGAACATTCACTTTTAATATTTAGGAACTATTGAAGTTGTAAATATATATTATACACGTTTATACAGGGTCTGTCCTCATTGGAGTAGAAAGAGGAAACATCTGCTTTGCTGCTGTTCTAACTGCTCCAGATCTACACACACACACACACACACACACACACACCAGTCATATAGTGGTTGCACGTTCTCCTGCCAAAGGAAGAGTGTTACTACACATGCATGCTTCCATACGTATGAACACACACACACACACACACACTCTTCCGCTCGTCGTCATCCTGTAGCAGTTATTCTGAAACAGTTTCTCCTCCAGATCTGTGTCGTCTGGACCTGCTCCTCCACAGATGCTCCGTCCTCCCCGTCCCCGTCCCCGTCTCTGTCCCTGTCCTCCATTTGTCATCATCTTATTCAGTTTCTGACTCTGTGTGTATTACTTAAAATAACAACGTGAACTATTTCTGTGTAAATAATTTTCAGCCAAATGTGTAAAAATAAGTTCATATAAGAATCATTCACATAATAAAAAAACATATTTTTGGTGGTTTACATAATAATAATAATCATAATAATGTGCTTCACAGAATGAGGGGCGGACCCCCAGGGGGTGCTGGATTGTAATTTACATTATTATATAGTAGTTTTGAAGAAATTACAATTTAAAATTTCAAAAGTTTAGTAAAGTTTTCACACAGTACAAAGAGTCTCACACATAAATAACCCCAACTACCAAAGGGGGCGCTGCAAAAAAAAGAAAAAGAAAAAAAAGGTTTACCAGTCAGTGGTTTTTTGCATCAATAAATGCTCAGACTCAGTATTTAGTTTCTGGTTTGGTTGATGATGTCACCTGTTTAACCTACAATCCTATTTAGAGGTAAAAATGATGCAGGAGACGGGGGGAAACAAATGGCAGCATGAATCTTCAGACTCAGCGGTCGCAGTTATTTCTGATGCACAGATCTGTGATGGAGCAGTCGTTTATATTTAGGACCATGTGACGCCTCTGTTTCTCAAACAGAAAGCTGCTCTGTTATAGTCAGACCTGCCAGTTACCAGAAACTATTGTTGGCTGTTCAAAGCAGAGGATGCAAACTGGGGTCTTCTGTGTTAAAGTCACACCACCACCACCACCCTCCACCCCCCTCGGAGAGTTTGTGGGTTTATTGTGTTATAACAGCATTGTGTTTCTGACACCTCTGCTTTTGACTGAAACC